TAAATGTTGGAAGTTAAACCCTTATCGGTGGTATCATTGGCAAATACGTTCTCCCATGCAGTGGGTCTTCTTGTTGTTTTGTTGATGGTTTTCTTTGCTGTGCAAAAGCTTTTTATTTTGATGTAGTCCCATTTGTTTATTTTCTCTTTAGTTTCCAATCCCCGCGGAGCAGTATCAGAGAAGAAATTCCTTTGGCCTATGCTTGTGATTTCGCTGCTTGTGGATTCCTCTAGTATTTTTACGGTTTCCGTCTTACATTTAAGTCCTTTATCCATTTTGAGTTTATTTTTGTTTATGGTGTGAGTTGGTGATCTAGTTTCATCTTTTTGCATGTATCTGTCCAATTTTCCCAACACCATTTATTGAAGAGACTGTCTTGACTCCATTGTATGCTCTTGCCTCCTTTGTCAAATATTAATTGGTCATAGCGGTTTGGGTCGATTTCTGGGTTCTCTATTCTATTCCATTGATCTGTATGTCTGTTCTTGTGCCAGTACCAAGCTGTTTTAAGAACAGTGGCTTTGTAGTAGAGCTTGATATCTGGTATTGAGATCCCACCTACTTTGTTCTTCTTTCTCAGGATTGCTGCAGCTATTCGAAGTCTTTTTTTATTCCAGATGAATTTTTGGGGCGTTTGTTCTAGATCTGTTTAATATGCCGTTGGTAATTTAATGGGGCTTGCATTGAATCTATAGATTACTTTGGGTAATATGGACATTTTGATGATGTTGATTCTACCAATCCATGAACACGGTATTTTCTTCCATCTGTTTATGTCCTTTTCTATCGCTTTTTTCAGTGTCCGGTAGTTTTCCGCAGGAATTTCTCCTTTATACATTATCTACCTAAAACAAACCTAGGTGATATATCTATCACTTTTGCATTGATTTTGGTTCTGTTTTTGTCTGCATAATCTGACCTAAAATATTGAGTCTCGGGATAACAGAATAAATGAAATTTATAATATTATTTATTTCATATAAAATGAAATGGATTGCCCAGCAGGCGTGACTCAGTGGTTGAGCGTCAACCTATGGACCAGGAAGGAGGTCATGGTTCAATTCCTAGTCAGGGCATACGCCCTGGTTGCGGGCTGGATCGCCAGTATGGGGCATGCAGGAGGCAGCTGATCAATGATTCTCTCTCATCATTGATGTTTCTATCTCTCTCTCCCTCTCCCTTCCTCTCTAAAGTCAATGAAAATATACTTAAAAAAATGAAATGGATTATCAAAACTGGACAGTTATTTACTGGATAGTTAAATCCCAGATAGGTTCATTTAGAAGTACAGTGGAACCTCAGATCTTGTGCTTAATTCATTCCGGAATGCTGTTGGAGAAGTGATTTGTTTGAAAACCAAATCATTCATTACCGTTAGAAATAATGTAAACTGAATATGTTACACCACATTTATTTGCCTTTCCTGATATCTTTAATGGGTCAGTTTTAAATTACAGCTCACATAATTAGGTTGGCGTAATTGTAGAATTACTAAAATGTTACACCATTACTACCTTTGGAGAAAACCAAAATTCAGAATTTAGTTTGCAGGTGTTTTTTTTTCTTTTCTTTTCCTTCCAAGTCTTCTTATAGCAATCACTGTAAAACTTAATTTAAGGGTTCATGATAAATGTATAATGCAGAATTTTCTAACTGTGGGAAAGCTTCCATTTACTGCTACTTTCACTCTGAATAAGCTATGAAGAAAATAATTTTTCAGCAGTTTTTGCTCTCACACGGTTCATAAACAATGTATTTAGTCTAATTTGCCAAGGGCAGGATTAAACATCTCTGTTATCAGGAAAAAGCAGCAAGTTTTTCTCAATGTGGAAAAATTTGGCATTACTCAGGCCCTTATCCTCTTCGTGTGCTTTTCTCTTGATGTGGAAAGGTCTCATTTTTTGTCATGACCTTCAAATAATTCTTAAAATAAGCAAAAGAATAAAGGAAAAGAAGAATTATATAGTCTAAAAGCATTTCAGTACACTAGACTAAGAACATTTAAACAATTGAACAGAAATAATGAGTTTAAGAATTACAAATATTGTGGTACAAGATTTGGAAAGAAATTGACTCCACTTAAATTTGGTATGTATTTTATACTTTTGAATCATTTGAACATACAAATAGTGTTAGGATTTTATTTTTTAAAGTCCTTCTTGTTAAGTTAAAACGCAAAGAGGAAAGTTGATAGATTTTTATTTAAGAAGATCAATTCCAAGGTTGCCATGCTTCCCTCTGGCAGTTCTGAGAGGTTATCTTAGGATGCAGTCAACTTCTTCATAAAATCTCATTTTTCTTTGAGGGTTGCCATTTTTCTTTTATAAAACTCTGTATTCATATTTTAAATTGTTGTATTTGGTACAACATTGTTTCCAATCTCTGTCTAGTCCAAACTGCATTAGTCTTCTTGCAATTTCCT